TTTTCATGGTCAAATATTTGAACCCCATAAGTGAGGCCATAAAAAGTTAAGGCGTCCTTATACGCTTGTATCATGTTAGGATCGTCCATGAAGAAGCTGAAGGGTAACAACTTGGTTCTTATAGGCATGGAATTCTTATTAATAGAATCAACCCATTTTTGAAAGAAGGTTGAATTTTCTATATTTAGTCCTGGGTTCCCTCCAAGGATCGATACATCCTTCGAGGTTCTAAATTTTCTCACCAGTTTTGGTGTCTTCTTGCTGTAACCTGCAGATAACCCCATTTTGTGAAAGTACAAATTAAAAAACGTTTTTATGCTTATATTGTTATCTTTCAATTTGTTGTATTCGTCCTTTTCCATATTCATTTTTATGATTATTTTCCCCCCCAAGTATATTTCATGGGCTACATGCGTACCATGAAGCTTGAAAAACATCATCCACTTGTTCACATTTTCTTCACATTGGGGAGTATGTATCTTGTTAATGTAGTACTCGTATGAACATTGGCTATCTTCTTTCAGCCCGTCAAACCTTGGGGGTAGGTTCTTCAAGGCGTTTCTAAAATTGTCTGTAAACCTCCAACTCGTCGTAGTTGGTATTCCAGTATAATAACGTAGGCAATAAATTTTCATCATAAATATGACATTATTTTGCACCTTTAATTTTTTTATCGCATTTTTATACTCTGCCGATGCGGAAAAGGAGTAGGGGAAAATGGACGGGGTGCTGACCTTAACATCGGATAGTAATTCCATTTTGTATTGCTCTAAATTTTGTATTTCTTCTACATTTTTCGATTGGCTACAAGAATGCTCAGGGATCACCCACGGGGTCAGTTTTGGCTTGTGCTCCTCTATGGTGTAGTCCCCCATGAGTGTGGACTCCCTGTATGAGGGACCTCCTCCAGGGATACCGCTACCATAAGGAGAGGTAGTACCATTAGCGTCTCTACTGTTATGCTTATTCACGTGCATCTCTTCTATATTTATTTGGAGCACGGGTCCCCTGAACCCCGGGTCGACGTTTATCGTGGGATCTCCTTCTGGGTTCCCCATAATGATGTCGTAACCTAACCCCAGGTACTTTAACGACAAATCGATGTCTGGGTTGTATCCCTTATTATATTCCGCGTGCTTCTCTCCATCACTAGGATTATGCGTTGGGACATTATTTCTATTTTCTTTAATTTGTCTGCCTCCACCAAGTGGTTGCGTATTGGTTATGCTTCCCGTTTCACGCATTAGAGCGTCTCTTAAGTCGAAATCTTTCTGCTGTTCATCCCTCCTCTCTGAATTTATCCGTTTCAAATCTTCCATTTCGTTTTTGATGAAAAAATTATCCCTCCCAAGGCTGTACGGAGTTCTGAAGATTCCTATTAGGTTATCTTCCCCCAGTGTGGAATCTACAAAATTGTTACTTCCTTTCTCAGTATGGTTTCTTTCTCCTTCCTTGTTCGTATATGTTGCAAAATTTGCACCTGAATTGTTCTGCAGAGATTTCTGCGATTCCTGCAATTCCTGCCTTTCTAGAATTTTCATGATCTCCTTCTCGTTGTCCATCTCTTCATTTTGTTCGGTAACTTCGTTGCTGATATTTATTGGGAATTTTATCTGGAGGAATTTCTCCTTTTCGAAGTAATTTCCTCCAGAGTAGCCAATGCTATCGTTATACGAAGGGAGCATCACCATGTTATCTCCTCCATTTTTAGGCCGTTTATTTGAGGAAGGTTCATTTCGCTTGGAGCTGCCATGAATTTTGATTTGCTTTTCTTCCCGCTGTGCACTTTTCTTCAGGTTGGAGGGAGAAACGATGTCTGTCTCGAAATGGCTAAGGTTTTCATGATCACTCGGTTCCGTGTAAACATTTTTTTTTTTCTCTTTGGGGTAACCTTCTGGTAAACCATGTGACAGGTGCTGCTTATTAGGTTTCCTGGTGAGATCCACCAGGTTGGAGTTATAATTATGCTTATTTATAGTGGCAGCTTGGCCCACTTTTTCTTTCTCACTGGGAATTTTTTTATCGCTTCGTCCTTCCCTTTGCAAGTTACAGAATTTGTAATCTTTTTCATTTTTCTTCCTGTCTTGTGCCGCTGCGTCGTGCGCTTTTATAAGCATAAAACTGGAACACGTGTCTCCACTGCATTTCGCCGGTTCGTTTTTTTCGTCCCATTTTGTTGATTGCTCCTGATTTACAACATTTTCACCATGTGGACCATTTTGCCTCAGTGCGTGCCTGTTGAAGCAACCATATAAAGGATTGCCTACAAAGATGCCGTTGTCATTTTGCAATCTTTTACTTTTTCCCACCGAGTTCACGTCTGCAATGTATGACTTTTCTTCATTTAAAAAATCGGAGGAGTTAAATTTTTCTAAATTGTAATCGTCATAATTATCGTGGGTAAGCAAATATCTGCTTATTTCGCACTTTACATTGTGCGTTGAAAAGTACACGAGGAGTAAATGAGCTAAAACACGTTCTACAGCTGTTCTCATTAATTACGCTTGTGCATGTGTACGTATAAATGCTTGCGTTGCGCTAGATACTTGTTGCTTAAACGTCCATGCTTTTTTCCCCTATCTTTTTAGGCACATGTTTTATGGAAGAATGGCTCCAATTTTCAATGATACGGTTAAACAGTCAAAGACGCAAAAAATTTCGTGACATTTAAAGAAAATATACGTGCCGTTTTGGTCGCACGAAAAGGTGCTTTTCACTAAGGATAAAAAAAAAAAAAACCTAAATCGAACTTTTTACCTCCGAAGAAAGGACACATGAAAGTTAAAGAGAAGAGCACACTTTAGACTTTTGACTCATCTCAAAACTGAGGAGGTATACGTGTCCATTGCCCTGTGCACCAGCTAAGACGAACGTCTGCTTACATTTGTCTTATGTGAATTTAGCATGACATCTTCATTTAGTAAGAGAAAAAGGCGCACTTATTTTTGCTATCCATGTCGTGTGCTCACAAAAATTGTCGTTTTATGTATCTACATATTTCGCTTTTTTTTTTTTTTTTTTTAAACTCGGCGGACTTTCAGTTTTACAAAGAAAACAAGGGAAAATAAAATCTTACCACAATTTTTTTTTCATAAAAATATTTGTTTAAAAATTTGCACATTATGTGTGAACATTTATCTTCATTTAACATTTTTTTTTTGTTTTTATGGAACACTATAATGAGGTTTTAACTTGCGGAAAATATTCCTATGTCTAAGCAGGTGCGGAAAAATACGCAGGACTTAGCTTAAGAAGTGATAACATTTTGCTTCTTAAAATAGAAAAATATTTCTTTCCATTTTTTTTCTTCATTGTATACTACATTTAAACGAATTCACGGGAAACGTTTCGCTCATCCAGGTTAACCACTTTGAGCGCCAGATGGACTGCACTGATTTGGAAAAATGCTCCTTTAGTAGTAAAAAAGTGAATGGACGCGGGTTTCCTACTACGTTCGTTGGGCGCATGTACATTAACGTGTGCAAAGTTGAAGAGACGGCAAAATGGGACAAATTGCATTGGTGAACAGGTGTGATATACAAAGTAATGAGCTTTCACCTTTTTACATGCCAAGCTTTATGCACATTAAGAGGACCACCAACATGGGACGCAAAAAGCTTTCTCGAAAAACTTACGTCATTCTGAGGGCAAAACATCACCTTTTTTTAATTGTAGGGCAAAAAGAACGTTTCCATAAAAATGATGAGAAAATTTTTGCTATTTCGTATTGGACCCTTTTTACTTCCCTCTTCTTACCAAATGATGATCACATGCGAAAAATTACACTACATAAAGCCATTTTTAAAATTTTAACGAATTCGAAAGAGTCAGTTGGTGAAGCTATCTGGCGAAAGCATAACTCAGTTTTCTTTTTAAAACGCACATGGTGAGTGAAGGAATAGCACTGAGTGTGGGAAAAAAAAAAAAAAAAAAAGTCACATGAGCTCACGTAAGAGTTTATGTATACATATACACATGCCAAAAGGTTCTGCGAAAAAAAAAATTGTTCACACCGTTGCAAGCAGTATTAAGCCTTGTCTGGATCCCCAATTTTGGCTACAGGTCTTGATCACGAATATGTGACAAAAATCTGATTTAATTTATCTTAATCACATGAATGCTGAGCACCTCAATAAAAACAGCCAATATGTGCATAACTTGGTTAACAAATTATTGCAACATTGGCTATTTTTTTTTTTCTTTTCTTACGCATGAGAAAACGTTTTTTTATGCTACATGCCAAAAAAAAAATGCGGACTTCTTAAAAAAAAAAAAAAATATGAACAATGTGTGCTTACTTGATTAAAAGGTTCTACGATACGCTAATTTTTTTTTCTTAATTTGGCTTGCTTCTATTTTATTGAATGTTTGAACCAAATGTAACACAACTGAATACAACAACCAAGTGGAGAGTATAAAAATCTGGACAGGACTCTCAATTTTACCTGAACACTTTTTTAAAAAAAAAAAAATAAATAAAAAAAAAACTCCAGATAGCTATTTAATGTGTAAAAAAAAATGATCTTTAAGAAACATTTTGTTAAGTGTTTGATCACTGAAGTTGTGCATGTACATATAGCTTTAATCTTTACTTTAAATTTTAATCTGTTTTTTTTTTTTTTTTTTAATTTGCAAATATATTTTTACACCATTTATTTTAAACACACATGAGAAAGTAAAAAAAGAAAATAAAAAAAGGACACACAATAAATAATATAAAATTATAACATGCTTCCTTTTATTTTGTCAAAAATGATTTTGTTAAATGATTCAATTTCAATTCGTGTAACATTTAAACAAACACCTTTTCACTTAACTGTCTTTTTATGCTTCCTTCTTCCAACTTGTATTAACCCTTTGATTGTGTGAATAACTCTCATAACACATCCTTTTAAACACGTACTTTTACGCTCGCGCATCCCATAGTTCAAGAACATATATACACACATATATACACGCATATATATATTCATTTACTTAACAAACCAAAAAAAGGCAAAATGAACAAAGTGAACCGAGTCTCGATTATTTGTGCTTTCTTAGCACTTTTTTGCTTCGTAAATGTGTTGTCGTTGAGAGGAAAGAGCGGATCGACTGCCTCGTCTTCTCTTGAAGGAGGAAGCGAATTTTCCGAGCGTATAGGGAATAGCTTATCGTCATTCCTTTCCGAATCGACATCTTTGGAAGTAATTGGAAATGAACTGGCGGACAACATCGCCAATGAAATTCTTAACTCCCTGCAAAAGGATTCAGCATCCTTTTTACAAAGTGGGTTTGACGTAAAAAGCCAGTTAAAAACTACTGCCAAGAAGGTCTTATTGGAAGCGTTAAAAGCAGGATTAGGGCCAACGGAAGAAATTATTGCCTCCTCGATTAAGCCACCACGTATGAGCGAAGAAAAATACTCTTTCTTGGGCCCGGTCCTCAAGAGTCTCTTTAACAAAATTGAGGACGCTTTACATAAACCAGTACCTGATGACATTTGGGATTACAAATCCGAGTATTTCAACGAAGAGGAAAAATCTGAAGATGATATCTCTGAGGATTTCTTAGATTAAGCATAACATGGACACATTTTTTTGAGAAGAATTTATATGCATAAACAAATGGTAAGTAGCCAAAAAGGCCGTAGGCAAAGAGAGATGGATAAACACCCCCGCAAGCACCCCCTCTTGTGGAATCCGACGATTCGAAGGGGCCATAACCACATTGTTGCTAAATAAGAAGTAAACAAAATGGGACCTACATTGTAATATGCCCAATGAGCATTGATTTATTATAATATTTTATCTTTGTTTTTTTTTCTTCCTCAACTTGGGCATATTTTTTTTTTCGCGTTTCAGCCTACTCCCTTTAGCTTAAGGCTTATGGTTTATGGCTTATCGCTTATGGCTTATTCGTTTTTTCGCCCGTTCTTTTTTTTGGGAGTTTTTTGATTTTCTTAATTTTAACGCACACTGACACAAACATAAGAACATTGATAGTCCACATTTTATGATTCCCCGTGTGCGATGAATGTTCACTCATCATATGTCTGTACGTAGACACGTTCACATAGGAATAGGTTCCTATGGGTATGCGCGCGTATATATATTTTTGCTAATATGCTCTTTTCCCGCGCAAATAGATAAACATTAAGTGAAATTAGTAACATTTTAAAACACGACAACATTGCTGAGGCAAATTCTTGGTTTACCGGAGCGAGCAGGCGAATTCTGCGTAGACGCTGATCAGACTCGGCATAAATTGTGATCAGACTCAGAATAAGCGGTCATAAAATTCTGCTTAACCTCTGATTATGTGTCGCGTGCCGCCTCAATTAGGATGGCAAACTGGGCAGAAGGGGCCGTAGGCAACTGTTCCATTGGGGCGTTTCGGTGTATCAGCCAAAAGGGTACAATATATATGTATATGTAACACATGCGTGAATAAGCACCTATTCTGGTTGCATACCTTTTGTGTGTTATCTGCACTACGTGGTGTTATGGCATGTGGAACGCTTCGCAGGGTAATTGTGCAACAGGGTGAAGAAGCACAAGCATGCGCATATGTATGTATATATATACACATATATACAGATATATACATATGTGTAAATATGTATACATATGTACAGCTAAAAACCATCTTCATTTTGAGCAAAAAAAAAAAA